TCCCCGCCCAAACCCTCCTCGATTCCGCCCAACGCAGATCCATTTCCTCCTCCACTTGTTCTTTACCCGATAAAGCGCCGGTTTCCCCACCCAGAAATCTAATTGAATCTGCTCATCGCCGCTCCATATCCAAATCTACGTGTTCCCTCGAGAAAAAAACCCTTGAGTACTAACTCAAACGGCTGGCATAAGGAAGAAGATGAAGCTCGGGAACTTAGCCTCAACGGGTTCCTTAAGGAGCAGAGAATAAAGATTGAGAAGATTTTGAACGGTGATATTAATTCCAAGGCCAAGATTGTGCTCTCTGGACCTTCAAACAGTTAAGTAGTAATGTTGGATATCTAGTTTTTTGACCTCAAATGAAAACAAGAAAAAGAAAAGGCTAGGTTAACAAGCAAGGTAATCGTGAGATTAGTGGACAATTTTGGAGTAATTTCGTGTGTAAAAGTGCAGGCACGAGTTCAATGGTGGCAGCTCTGTGCTACGCGTGGCTGTTAGAAAATAGGGGAAGGAATAAGAAAGTAGAGGGTGAAGTGAAAGAGTACGTGGTGGTTCCTGTGATGAATGTGAGAAGGAGGAAGATGTCGAAGTATAGGCAGGCTGCATGGCTGTTCCATCATGTTGGTCTGGATGCAACCTCCTTGCTCTTTGCAGATGAGGTAACTGCACAATTGCCTCTAATTCATGCTTCATTGTTTTCAATCTTTGTGTCAAAAAGAAACATAACTATTTTTGCTGCTTGGGAATATATGCTTACGTTTGGAAATGAGAGACTTTCTGGCACAAATGGAAATTTCCCCTTTGCAGGAGAAATGTTCAGAAGGCCTCAGGATATACAAACCTTCTTGTTACATGACAGATCACAGCTAATTAGATATTGATGATTGTTCAGGCATATATGTTTTGTTGACTCGATTACACACGAATAGTAGCAAATGTTTGTCTTTGTTGAGTGATGAATGACTTCGTTCAAAGCATGAAGATATAGTTGGTCTAGATTAGCTGTTTATGAACTGACCAATGCGTGATGTCTTCTTTTCCATATTTGTCATTCTTATTTCCAAATGAGATGGTGCGTA